CGCTGGCACAACATTAGTATAGCCAGTGGGTCCAGTGCGTTTTTGAAATGCTGCGCATCAGCACTATGTCTTGCCCGCTGGCACAACATTAGTATAGCCAGTGGGTCCAGTGCGCTTTTGAAATACTGCGAATCAGCACTATGTCTTGCCCGCTGGCACAACATTAGTATAGCCAGTGGGTCCAGTGCGTTTTTGAAATACTGCTCTTCAGCACTATGTCTTGCACTCTGGCACAACATTAGTATAGCCAGTGCGTCCAGTGCGTTTTTGATATACTGCTCTTCAGCACTATGTCTTGCACGCTGGCACAACATTAGTATAGCCAATGCGTTTTTGAAATACTGCTCTTCAGCACTATGTCTTGCACTCTGGCACAACATTAGCATAGCCAGTGCGTCCAGTGCGTTTTTGAAATGGCTGCTGCCGTTGTTGGGGTTGATAGTGAAAATTTTAATTTAAAAAAAAGTGGGGGGGAGGGCGTCCTTAAAGTACGTCGCGCCCCGGTGCGCGTGGGTAGTGGGCTTCAGAAAGTGTGACACTTTATGACCTTGGGGAGAGGTTAAAAAAAATCTTATGTTATGTCACAATTTTTTATCATACATATAAAACCTGAAATTGACTGTGATGTTGAACTTTCTGTATGATGGATGTATTGTGATATAAGATGTCACTTTTATAAATATGATATTTTAATAGTGTTTTATATTAAATTTGAATATATATATATTTAAATTCAATTTTTAAAAAAAGTTTTGTAAATATGAGTGGAGGGTCCGAAATTGGGGACGGGGTGGGGGGGGGGGGGGGGGTGGAAAAGGTTGNACCTTTTTTCAAGCTTCCACATACCTCGTTTCACTATTTCATTCTTTTACATAGCTTGAAAGCAGTCCCTTCACTTATTTAGCAACAAGAAGGCTGACACGCACATTTGTGAATAAATCTCTCTCTCTCTCTCTCTCTCTCTCTATATATATATATATTATATATATATATATATATATATATATATATATATATATATATATATATATATCTATATACTGGTTTTATAAATGTTAGATATACTTTTTTTTATCAATTGTCCATTTTTTTCGTTGGCAAAATATATCTACGGTGACTTGCTGCCACGCTTTCCTTGGTAGGCCGTCATACTTGGTATCGGTCAGAAATGATGTTATTTGCTTATAGGAAGATCCGAAAAGTATGTAAATGCAATATCTCTCGCAATTTTGGTTTCTAAACTTGACTGTATTCTTGTCTGCATCTTTGTCAAATGATAAGATTTATGCGCAATGTATTGCAGTCGTTACAGTAAATACCGCCATCAGATTCTTCGTTGTTTTTGTGTTTTTTTTCTCATTTGTTATTTGGCATTTTTATAACGGTAGCGTGCGGAAATATTCGATGACCCTCCCCACCCCCTTCCCCCCTCCCCAACTTCCACTACACAGAATGTCGTGAATATATTCTCCACATCCNCCCCCCCCCCCCCCAACCCCCCAAAACCCTTTTTTTTCTTCATTTTGTCCACCAGTGGGGAATTAATAAATAACTGATGTAACAAGCTTAAATTTTTTTTCTTCCTGGAAAGATATTTGTCTCCAGTTCATGAGGACTGACAGAGGTGTTCCTGAACGTGTTCCAAACTGGGTGACGATGTGAACAGCTTACGGCCGTACGGGTACAAGAAATTAGTCTCAACGCTAGGGAAATGGGGATTGAGTTTGAAAAAAAAGAAAAATGGAGGGAGGGGTGTGGGGCTTGTGGGGTGGGGTTATTATTAGGAAACGCTGTTTTTTTTGTTGTTTTTTTTTTAAAGTTGACCACCGTTTGATTTTGTCGTGTAGTGGAACGCAACTCTATTTCAGTTCTTTTCAGTTGTATCCCACACCAATTAAAATCTCAAGGCCTAAAACAAAGCTACGAAGTAAAACTGTGACCTTTCTATCGGCAGCATGGATACTAGAGACCGACCGAAAGTGATTTTCTGATTTCGGCCGAAAGTTTAAAATGACTTTCGGCCGAAACCGAAAAAAAATGCCGAAAGTTTAAAAATGACATTCGGCCGAAACCGAAAAAATACCGAAAGTTAAAAATTAATTTTGGCCGAAACCGAAAATGAAATATTACGATATTTTGAAATTCGTTTCCGCATACATTCTGCATACATCGAAAATGATGTGGGAAAGTATAAATATTTACATTCTTTTTATAAAAAATGAGATAATCGTGAATATTAATAAATAAGCATCTAATATAGGGGTCTCAAACTCGCGGCCCGCGAGCCATTTGTGACCCGCAAGACGATATTTTGCGGCCCGCTACATGACAGAAAAGTTTAGTGTCAACGCGCAGGCGCGTTTCCCCCATTCTCATATCTATAACGTGATTCTCCGCGACGGTTTTAGTCGAATCTCACCGACTAGTCTAATTCTGATTTTTTTATTTTTAATGTTCCTATATATTTTTGTATGCCAGGTCTCTGGCAACAGTGAGTAGTTCTTGAGAACCCTTAATGATTTTATTGCTATTTATAAAGGTTGATCAGATTGTAACAGTTGTAATCGCTTTTTTGTGGATTACTTGATGCGCCCCACTCTCATTCAGACACTACCTCCTCTGCCCCCCCCCCTTTCCCCCTATGATTTGAGTTTGAGACACTTGATCTATTTTAATATAAAAGTAATTTAAATTGCTTTACAATTTTTTTTTAAAATTAGTATGGTAGGATACAAAATTTGGGGGGGGGGGTGAGGGGAGATTAATGCAAAATATTTTTTTTTAAACAGGGCCTCTAAAAAATGTGGTTCTAAAAGATCGCTTAATTTGTGTTTAAAGATCGTTTAGTTGGTTGTTATTGATCGGTTAGTTTGTTGTTTAAGATCGTTTAGTAGTTTGTTGTTAAAGATCGTTTAGTTTGTTGTTAAAGATCGTTTAGTTTGTTGCTAAAGATCGTTTAGTTTGTTGTTAAAGATCGCTTAGTTTGTTGTTAAAGATCGCTTAGTTTGTTGTAAATATCCCTTAGTTTTTTCATAAAGATCGCTTAGTTTTTTCATAAAGATCGCTTAGTTTGTTCTTAGAGATCGCTTAGTTTGTTCTTAAAGATCGCTTAGTTTGTTGTTGAAGATCTTTTAGTTTGTTCATAAAGATCGCTTAGTTTGTTCATAAAGATCGCTTAGTTTGTTCTTAAAGATCTTTTAGTTTCTTCCTAAAGAACATTTAGTTTTCTGTTAAAGATCACTTAGTTTATTCTTATAAATCATTTAGTAATAATTGTAGTAATAATTAGTAGTAAAGATCATTTGTTTTGTTCTTAAAGATCATTTAGTTCGGTCTTAAAAATCGTTTAGCTTGTTCTTATAGAGCGTTTAGTTTGTTTTAAAGATCGTTTAGTTTGCTCTTAAATGTCCCTTAGTTTGTTGTTAAATATCGTTTAGTTTGATCTCAAAGATCGCTTAATTTGTTCTTAAATGTGGCTTAGTTGTTAACTATCGCTTTCACTGAGTATTAAAATGACTGAAAACCTGAGTAACTTTCGGCCGGATGGCCGAAAGTCTAAGTCAATTTCGGCCGAAACCAAAGAAAAACCGAAAGTTAAATTTTCTCTTTCGGCCGAAACCGAAATCAAGCCGAAAGTTAACTTTTCAGTTTCGGCCGAAACCGAAACTTGGCCGAAAGTGATAAAATGGCCACTTTCGGCGCCGAAACCGAAGCCGAAATTCGGTCGGTCTCTAATGGAGACCTTCTTAAATTCTTGAAGCGCGCCCACCAAATGGAGAGGTCACATAAAAAACCATTTTAAGTTAATCAAGTCGGACGCAAAGAACGTGAAAGGGTGGGGGCACTAATTTATAAGAAAGTTTTTTTCTAACCTCCTCAGGATCTACTAAGTCAAAGTTAAAATAGATTTTATAAACTTGTTTTATCTAAATAGTCAAAGAATTTAAACGAGAATTAATCGTTTTTATGTTTAATCATCTTTCAAAACAAAAACGTGATGTTTTCAGCCACCAACATCTGGACTCAGCCGAAAGCAAACCTGGCCGTAAAGAGTAGGCTCTGTGGGGTGGGGTCATTCAGGGAGAGATATATTTGAAGGTCTGTAGTCCGTTGAAAAGAGTTTGGACTCTCGCCTCTTTCAGCAGATTGGCCACAGTTGGTGATCTGAGGAAGAAAAGAAAGTTAGTTTATCGAAGTGGCTGTTCGGACCCGGGTCCCAGAAGTTAGAGGTTGGGATTAAAATTTAAAAAAATATATTATTGTTAGGTGTAAGACAAAATGAGGTATCAAATGAAAGATTATTGAATGTTCTATTCTATATGTTTGTAAACTTAATTCTTCAGTTAAACTAAAATTAACTACCACTAATAACATCCGAATAGCGTTGAGTCAAAAGGGACCCGGGTCCGAATAGCGACGATGCGTTTCCGGTTCCATTTTGACTGAATGCTATTCGGGTGTCATTTGTGGTAGTTTATTTTAGTTAAACTTAAGAAGTAAGTTTACAAACATATAGAACATTCAATTATCTTTCATTTGATACCTCATTTTGCCTTAAAACCCTGCAATAATTTTTAAAAATATTTTTTTAATAAACCCAAACTCTTAACTTCTCGGACCCGGGTCCGAATAGCCGCAGCCCTCAGTTTATACCGGCGTTCCCCCAGATAGCGGGCCAGCGCCGGCCCCCCGAGCCTTACGTTGCAAGTCCGCATAGCGTTAGTCATGAAACTAAAAGTAATCCGAGCAGTATTACTTGTAACCTTCAACCTGGGACGCTCATGCCATATGCAAGATTAAAAATTTTAGAACCCATCCAGGCCAAACCAAGTAAATTAACATTTTTGGACGTTACAAGATCAAACCTGAACTGCCAACCCCATTTAAAGTATTTTGAAAAAAAAAGGTGGATGCCAGATGACACGCCGATTAAATCCACTGGACAGAGGGATTGGATTTTTTGATGTCCATTTAAAAAAAACCAAAAAACTTTCTTTCACAGACGAGTTTAAACGCCATAAAAAAGAAGAAAATAATTTAAAGTTTCTTACAAAAAAGCATGCAAAATAAGTATTGCAGAAGTGTATTCAGGCACTGTATGAAGCCAAATGGTTTGAATTAATTAAATGTAGAACAAACATAATTTTTTTTTTTAAATTAAGATTTGAAAAAAAAAATAATTCTGCACAGATTTTGAAAGTTATTTTCTATTTTTAGTGTGTTAAAAGAAAGTCTTTTTCAAAAGTTTATATATTGATGAATGGCCCGTACCTTTCTATAAATCTTTAAGTTAATGAGCGAAAGCAGAACGAAAATGAAATGTCTTCAAAATGTTACTTACACAAAGGCCCCAGTACTGCAAGGAACACCCACAGCGAGGACCACACCGACAGTGATCCACTCCCCGCTGATCTTGTGGTTACATATCACTGGAGCCCCACCGTCATTCTGGGATAAAAATACAACATTGAAAATGTTTACCTCTTTAAAAATAAATATGAAAAATGATGACGCCATATCATACAATATATGTCAATGTCGCTGAACACAATGTTTAGGGTTTACGGTAATGATTTCTTCGTGTCTTGTGGGTGCGTATTTGGGTGTTGAGAGTATTTGTGTAGCCGACAGCTATGTGCTTTGTAGGTGTGACGAATTGGGGTATGGGGGGAAATGACGTTTTTGAATGCTACAATGGTTGCCATGAGAGATGTAATTCTGTGAAACAAAAAATGGTGTCACTTTGGCTTGACTTACAAAGCACGGTCCGGTCTTTGAACTTTTGCCGTCCAGGCGGGTGTATTTCAACGTCAAGTAAGTTACAGTGTTGCGGTTGACGGAGACTTTAACTTCCTTCAATGTCTTGCTTGGTGAGCCAAACCCTGATAGAGTTCAAATCATCTTTGAAGTTATCATGGTATGGTCTAAGTATTTCTTTATACAGTGATTAGTTTATCACTTTTTTTTGGGGTCGTTTTCTTTAACTATTTGTGCCTAAATCTTTTCTTACATGGCTCCTAGTTGGGTTTGACTTTTCTGGGTCGTTATTTGGGTTTCTCCCCCGAGATCCCGGAATCCAGCGCGATTTTGAGCAAAGGGAAGACTTCCCGTTTACACGCTTTTAGTTTACAATTTTCTTTCTTTAAAAAAAAAAAAATTAGCAAATGAAAGATTGTCATTTCAAATTTAACTAACTTCGCTGACTTACTAAGCTTAATAGCTCTTGCACACAGATTCTCAAGCATTTTCAAGTCACAACCATATTCATATTGAAGCAAAGTGACCATTACCATTACATGATATTTGGAGGGTTGGAAGGGGGGGGGGCTTTTAAATAGGGTAAATTGTTGGAAAGGAAAATATTTTAAACTTAACATGCAAATTCAATGGCATTTTTGAAATGGTAACTCAAATGTTCAGATACCAATTTAAAAAAAAAATCGACTTTTCTTAATCAATGGTTTCAGCCAGTGACTCCAGAGACAACCCTTCGCAGCCCCCTTTGAGGTCAGCTCCCTTGGGCTGGAAACCTGGGCTCTAGTAATCAAGATTTTCATGTGTCAACTACCTTCATATTATTATTTTTTTCATATTTCCAAAATCAATATAGTAAGACATGTACACATATTTAAAGGTTAAGTTTTATTAAGTTATAAAATTATAAAAGTATATTTTTTGAATTAACAACAAGTAAAAACGTATTAAATGTTAAACATACACAGCTAAAATTTTCATGTGTTTTATTAACAATTAAAAAAGCAATCGATTATATTTATTAATTTTACTTTTAAGAAAAGGAAAATACTTTATCAGTTTTTTAATGCGCTGTTATTATTTAAATATTCAGACTTGGATACTGAACTTTTTAACAAATCGACCACACTATGTCAAAGTAAATAACCAATTATCTCTAACCAGAGAAATAAGCACCGGGGCACCACAAGGCTGCGTTCTCTCTCCTGTATTGTATGCAATATATACAAATGATATTCAAAGATTAAGCAACACCGTTCCAATCTTAAAATTTGCTGATGATGCCACGATTGTTGGCTGAAGGAGAAGGATTATACCGTGACTTAGTAACAAGCTTTATCAATTGGTGCGATGAAAATTTTCTCCAGTTGAATGTCTCAAAAACAAAAGAAATGGTTGTTGATTTCAGGAGGGGGGAAACAACTGATTACAGATCTCAACATAAAAAATCAAAATGTGGAGAAAGTGGAGGCATACAAGTACTTATGTGTCACCATTAATAATAAGCTAACATGGCATGAGCACGGCCAAATCCTGTATAAGAAATTCAACCAAAGACTGTTCTACCTCAAAAAAACTGTACAATTTTGGCGTAAACAAGCAAGTCGTTAACTTATTCTAGAGTGCAACAATTGGAAGCCTGCTTAATTTCAATATTACCTGCTGGTGTGGGAATTCATCGTCTGACATTAAACACCGCATAAACCGACTAATCAAGAAAGCTAGGAACATAACACAAACTAAACATCCTTCACTTGAAGAACTATTTGAAGAAAGATGTTTTTGTAAAACTAAACACATTTTGGATGATACATCCCACCCTCTTCATCACAGATACTTAGGATCGGGCCGTTCGGGACGAATTCTTTCCATCAGGGCGAGGACTGACTGATATAAAAATTATTTTGTTCCCCAATCTGTACGAATTTACCGGCGTGCTTCCTCTGAAGTCACACATCTGCATGAGAACTAATAAGTCCCCGATTTTGCTAAGAGAACTCACTGAATGGCTGTTTGAAATAATTTATTATAAATGTCTTGTGTTCAAATTGTTTTATTTTTGTGCTGAAAGTGTATAATGCAATCAAAAAACATTTCCATTTATTTGGATCAATAAAAGAATCTTATCTTATCTTATTAAATCAAAGAAACTTAAGAGTTTTGGCTAACATAGGCGATTCGCGCTATGACGTCGGTTGCGTGTTTAGTTAGAACAAATTAATTTTAATTTTATTTCGCAATATTAACAACGCACTAAAAACGCACTAAAAGCAATTGGTGCTTGGGTTTTCCCGATAAATGTGATTAGGTATAAATCTTTGATCATATTTGTTTTTCATAACTTTCAAACGCATTTAAAATGCTTAAGATTGTTCCTTAGTTGTTACTTTAAATGTATTTGTTAATTATAATAATAATACTTAAACTTTTACTAAAATAAAAGCAGATATATTGGCTTATATTTTTGTGCGCATTTAAATTTATTATATTTCCGTAAAATAATAGAAAATAACTATGATCGTTTTTAAGAATACGAACGTATTTAAATCTTTTCGGTTCTTTGGCGTTACGGTCAGCCTAGCTCATTCTTATATATATATCCTGGCTTACAGTCTGGTCAATCTCATTAAATTATGAAAGATATTAATAGAACATCCCGGTATTCCTTTAGGCCTCTTTCTCAACAGTTGTTAGGTACTTCAACGTTAAAGTGAGCCGGCATAGTGGGTCTAAACGTAGACGAAAACGTGTATACAGTTTTATTTACATGAGGTTTTACCAACAAGCACGCGGCAATACATTGTTGCAAGCTGTGTTTTACGAAAAACATTGTGGTAAAATACTAACACTACGCAAAGCAATGTGACGTTTCCCGATCGTAGAAATGACAAACCCTGCTGCCGTTGATCGCCAATCTGGTTTCCGCGTTTTTCCTTGTGGTGATGACCCACTGAGCTTCTGGATGGAGTTGTAAACTGTTGCCTGGCCCGCCCCCCTCCCCCCCCCCCTCCAGGGCTAACTGCCCGTGCAATTCTAGGGTACCCGATTTAACTAACTTACTTTTCAACAATAAAAACCAAAAAACTGTTCGAATAAGAATTTTGTTATTCTGGCCCTCTACTGAAAGAAGCGCCCGCTGTCGTCTAACACAGTGGTTCCCAAACGTTTAAGTTTGGCGGACCGATGAAAAAGTTTTGAAATTTTACCAGGGACCGGTGCATGATTTATTTTTATACTTTTATTTCTATTTGACAATAAATATTTATGTTATGGGGACCAGCAACGTTAGGCATGCGGACCGGTGAAGGTCCACGGACCATCATTTTGGGACCACTGGTCTAACAGATACGCACTTACGCCGGACAGTGACCATCAGAAGATTTGTCCTACCAAAGATATACCAAAGATATATGCGTACGCACAAACCATCTCGTGATGGGTAACATACGCAGCACTTACCATCTGTCGTTTCACCGTACCCCACGATTCGGCAGTCTGTCAAGTCGATGTCCGAAGCCAACACCCGGGCGTTGGGGAAACAAGATGGCTGGACACATTGGTCGTTGAAGGTCAAGGGCGAGCTTAGGGAAATGGTGTAGAGTTTCGTGTTTGCCCCAGCTGTAGAGAATCACGTTATATACATTGGTGGAATGATAGTTTAACATTGTTGGAATGATAGTTTAACATTGGTGGAAATGATAGTTTTACATTGATGGAATGCTGGTTTAACATTGGTGTAATGATAATTTAACATTGATGGAATGATAGTTTAACATTGGTGTAATGATAATTTAACATTGGTGGAATGATAGTTTAACATTGGTGGAATGATAGTTTAACATTGATGGAACGATAGTTTAACATTGGTGTAATGATAGTTTAAAATTGGTGGAAATGATAGTTTTACATTGATCTAATGATAGTTTAACTTTGGTGGAAATGATAGTTTAACATTGATGTAATGATAGTTTAACTTTGGTGGAAATGATAGTTTAACATTGATGTAATGATAGTTTAACTTTGGTGGAAATGATAGTTTAACATTGATGTAATGATAGTTTAACTTTGGTGGAATGATAGTTTAACATTGGTGGAAATGATAGTTTTTACATTGGTGATATGATAGTTCAACCTTAGTGGAATGATAGCTCAACATTGGTGGAATGATAGTTTAACATTGTTGGAATGATAGTTTAACATTGGTGGAATGATAGTTTAAAATTGGTGGAATGATAGTTTAACATTGATGAAATAATTATAGTTTAACATTGATTTAATGATAGTTTAACATTAGATATAAGTTTTTAGCGATTGTCATGATGAGATAAAGATACAAGTTCTGAATGATTGTCGGCATGAGACAAATACATGGAACAGGCAGGGCCGAAATAACATTTGGCTCTATTAAAGAAAATAATTCTTAAGCTATTTCAGTTGAAAAATTTATTTTTTTAAATGCAGAAATAAAATGGGTCTGGCGCAATGGAGCCGCTATTAACAGGACCAAGAGCCACATAAGGCCCAAAGAGCCATGTACAACTCAAAGAGCCATGTACAACTCAAAGAGCCACATTTATCCACCCCTGATACATAGGTTTAGCGAATATCTTTAAGTTCCCTCCCCCCCAAAAAAAAAAACAACAACAAAAAATAACAAAAAACAAAGTCAACACAAGAAATCTACAAAACGATGCCGGACCCATGAATAGATTAAAAAACACGGCTACTTTATTTAGTGTGCCATGTTGCATTGACATATGGCATATGACATATGATGCCAGTGCGATATTAACCCATGGCAAGGCGCCTAGCTTCCTTGGGACCCTCGGAAGCGTAGAATTTTCGATCACGCGACATTGCCGTCGCATGGCAAAAGGTTCCATGGGCCCCTGCACTTGGTGGGCACCTAGGCCCTCAAGCCCAGTCAGCCTCACGGATAATACGGCCCTGAATGCCACATGTAAATGTAACTTCTGAACTCTGAACATTGACTAACGCGGACATAAACCGTATACGTACTGGGGTCCAGGAGTGTGGCCGTGGATGCATTGACGTAAGGTGAGCTGGTGGACACATCTTCTTGGTGGTACGACTGCGCGTGGACATACACGAGCTGCGACAGGTCGCTGGAAGATAAGCAAGGCATTGAAGAGCAACTGAATGGGAAACACGGTCAATGTCACGCGACAGAACGGAGGCGTTGATCAAAATTATTTTGTTCAGAACGCTTCTGTCACGTGGTGTTGAATTCGTCAGATCAGTGGTTCTCAACCTGTGGGCCGTGACGCGTCTTGGGGGGGGGTCGAACGACCCTTACAATTTAGGAAGGCTTTAGGAAGGTTGAGAACCACTGCGTTATACAACGATAACATCGGGTTTTGCGGGGCGGGGTCAAGATAACAAATAATGACGTATCTCTACGCACATTTAAAAGTTCTCTAGACTCTGAAAAGTTTATGGACAATGCAGTTATCTGTAAGCTAAGCAAACAGGAATGGAGAAAAATCGCTTGAAGGAAATTGAAATAATGGTATGTGAACTGTGTGTTGACATGTCACTTATAGAGACTTCCAAATACAGAGGAACGAAGAGGGTGCATCACCAAAAACCCCCAGAAAAAAAAATGCTCAAAGGAAGAACCTAGGCTTAGATGGATGGATGATGTGGGAAAGATCTACAGAAGCTGAGAATCCAAGCATCGAAAAGAAAAGCATGAGTTCGGTCTGAGTGGAAAGGAGTTCTGAGGCATGCCAAGGCCCTACATGGGCTTCAGCGCAACAGGGATGGATGGATGTATGAGCTGTGACAACCTGTGTAAGAGTTATTAACTTATGATGTAACCATAGACAACACGATGTCTACACCTACGCATTGATGAGATCCATGCAGAAGTCTTCGATGAGTATTTTATCCTCTTCCAGCAAAGTCCCCATACACTGGAGAGCTTCTTTGGGGCCATCTGGATCTTTGTAAAGTCCCACAACTCCGGGGTACTCGCATTCCGTGGCGACCTCCGTGCCAGAGTACATCCTCTTGACAATGGTGGACAGCTTGGCTGTTCTGTTGTTGGTGTAGTAGCAGACGTCTGTAAGGAGAGGAGGGGGGCACAAGGGAGTGTGAAAGGTTGGAATGATTAAATTGTATTTTTAAAACCATCGGACTTGATGACGTTTCAAATAAATGAGGACAAACACCAGCTTCCGATTGATACGCTTACCTGCGAATGGTGTGGTCGTGGGTATTTCCGTTGTGGTGGTGGTCGCGCATGCGCAGAGGGAGCTGAAGTTATCGTCATTGTCTTGGCCACAGGCTGCAATTAAAATAAAATCCGCGTTGTTTTTTGCCAAAAAATAGACACAAATTCTTTCCATCTAAGGCAAAGACGCAGGTCTAAGCCTTAGCTGATTGATAGTCGTAATTTTAAGTTCACATACTGCAACATGTCCTCATGATAGCTGTAAAATTTCGTTCAGTGTCTTATCTTTCTTTTAAAAATAAAATTCATTTTTGATCTGTTAATCGGTTTTGGACAATTGATAGTTTTAGTCCTGTATTAATTTTTTTGCTTTGTTTTTGTAACGAATTTTAATTAAAATGTAGATACTCTCTACTCGCCCTCACAAAACTCTTCTGTGCTGCCATATCGCAACAGCTGTCAGCTCTAAATTTCTTCACCACAGTAGCGACGTACACCGGTCACTTGGCTTTGCAAAGAGAGCGCTGTGGGGTACAAAAAAAGAAAGAAAAGAAAACTGGGTATTTGCCACTCACCCAGCTGACAATACGAGTTATCAGATGAGGATGGTGAAAGTGTCGTGGTCGTAGTGGTGTAGTCAGGAAGAAGCATGCACGGGCCTCCTATTGAAAACTCTGAAAAAAAGTCGAAAAAAAAACAACATTTATTAGCATCTTAATAACTTTTGCAAGTCTTTCTTTTTAAAGCTTCGTTTCTAAAAAAAAAAAAAGAATAAACTTAACCTAACAGTTTCAAAGACTATCGGGGATTATTAACTTTTTATATATAGATATAATATATATATTAATACTTCGAAACGCTAAATTTTTATTTTAACATTGCAAATGAATCTAATCAAATACTCACTTCCACAGATGCTCGCATGCACGTGTTGATTTAACATGCAACCAAAAGCCAAAAGTAACAACCTGTTACAAAATACTGCAGACTCCATTTTACCGAATAGTGCTTTCCCTTTAAGCGAAATTTCGGACAGATCTGATCGAAAAGATGTGGGAAAAATTTTTTTCCCGTCTGTAATTTACCGTCCGCGAATGTGTCGAAGTGACCGGGGTAAAAAAAAATTATTCCTTAAGTCAGATCACGTGTTTGTTATTGATTGAATTGTCCCGTTGAGTGGCGACAGAGCACATGTTTCAAGTTTTTGTATAGCGCTGTTTCTATAGAGATAACACCGAGAACAACAAAGATATGTTATTGGAAATCTTTAGAATATACGTGCAAGGCAGCGAGGGTCTCTAAAGCAAGTTGGGGAAGAGGCTTGGTTTTAATTGTTTAGGATGACGTAGGACGACGGAAGAAAATAAATTAAAAACATGCACGCGTGAAGTAAATGCAATTTTCATAATAATTTACCGAAACGAAACTTTGCAGCACGCCCACCGCATCTTATTAAAAAAAAAACAACTGTGTTCAACTCATTCCTGACGAGTGCATTGGGATTGAACGTAACACGCTGCAAACATAGCGACTGAAATTGGAAAAAAGGGGGGGGGGGAGGACAGAAATCTTTATTTTTTCGTTTCGGAAAACAAATTTGAAATTGTCCATTTAAACTATAAAAGAAAGGCATTGCTTGTTATGTGTCACGTGACAAGTAACGACTTCTGTTTTTAATGTGGAAAGGAGAGTTGCTGTTGGAGGTTAAAAGCTTGGAGTTTTATACGAAATGAAAAAAACAACAACAACAAAAAAAACTGCCATTTAAATCGCTGTGTTAAAATTAGTTTGGAATGAGTATCACTTGATTACTTCTGTGTTTTAAGCGTCATGAGCGCCCCCCCCCCCTAACTGCACATCAATAATTTGAATAATTCAAAAAATGGTGATAATAATGGTAGATCCTCCCCTCACCCACCACACACACACACCTGTCACCACTGTTAAAACAACCCATAAGGCGGATACCTTGATCTATTTATTACAAACATGTACACATTTTGAAACGGACACCAAAACCATTTCTTTTCAGATCTCGTTGTCAGTTAACAAAGCTGGCGTACATATTTTATCAAAGTACAAGAGATCGACCTCCCCATGATTGAAACATTTTCAGATCGGTAATGGATACGGAAACAACACTAAATAATTATTGCCAACAAAAATATTGTGTTGTGCTAAAAATAGAATTTATTTGATACTTATAAATATTCCAATGAGAAAAAAAAAATTTTGAATAACATTCGAGCAAGACAACGTGTTTCTTAGGTGCCACCAGGTTCAATTTATTGCCATTAGATTATTCTCAAACTTATGTTTGATATTCAAATTAAATTAATGTTTATGTTGTTTGATTCCATCGATAAAACGCCTTGTCTTGTTAGTGTTTAGTCTTTTGTTGCGGAACTCCCCGTTACAAAAGGTTAAGAAAATAAAGAACCAGCTCTTGAATACGTCGTCATTCAGAAACAGAACTAAGCCCTAGCTGCTTGGGTTGTACTTGAACGTCTGAAGACCGTTGTAGAAGTTGTGGACGGTGGACTCCCGAAGTAGACTGGCTACGGTTACAGCTCTGAAAGGAAATGGCCGAGCTGTGAGAGCCGCATCTAATGCGTTTGCTACATCCCCGTGGGTGGTGGTGGGTGGTGGTGGGTGGTGGTGGGTGGAAACGCAAACACCAATCCTCCGGAGGGGAAGCAAAGCCACCCAGACTCTTAGGGAGAGTTAACCGCGAACTCTTTAAGTGCAGCGTTTTCGGTCGACCGCACATCCCCCAGGCCAGTGGGGTGGGGGGGGGTTCCCCGGCATGCCCCCCGCACGGTCTGGTGGTGGGGACCCCCAGCGTTTGGCCCGTGTGAGGGTGTGCGGGGGGGGGTGGCATTAAGAGCTAACGCTCGACGGCCCACCGACGGCACTTCCCATGTGACGTTATTAGTTCCATCCAAATACCCGGAGACCTTATTACATGATTATGACAGATCTCGTCCGAATTATTATTTTTTAAATTTTTAAATTTTTTATTTTTTTAAAAATATATTTAGTAAAATATTCCTTAATTTTTTTTTTTTGGGTGGGGAGGGTGGGGGTGGGTGGTTGTCAAGGAATTGGTGAGGGGAAGAGGTTGAGGGGAAAAGGGGGGGGTGAGAGAGGGATGGGGGCTTGTAATTTAAAAAAAAAAAATTCTTATTCCTTTTCATTTGAATTTATCAAGGAATTGGTGAGGGGAAGAGGTTGAGGGGAAAAGGGGGGGGTGAGAGAGGGATGGGGGCTTGTAATTTAAAAAAAAAAAATTCTTATTCCTTTTCATCTGAATTTAATCAATGACGCATTAATATGGGGTAACACGCATTTAAAAATAAATAAAACTCGTCAGAATTTTGATTGGATGAAAATGTTGGGACCTCATGTGCCCATATTTTATACACCATTTTAAAAAAAAGTTAATTTTATTGTTCAAACCCCGAAAAACACCACAGTGTGTAACATGAATACAGTCTGATTATTTCAGTAAAAGGATATTTAAAAAAAACATAAATAATTAATTCATTTGCCAAAATTGTAGATGCCCTTTATAAATAGAAGGAAATAAGTGAAACAAAGTATAGTGACAAAATTTGAAAAAGGGGGGGGGGGCGGCGAAAGAAAATAGAGCACACTAGATTTTGCCTTTGGTTTAAATGCAATTCAACAAAAGTTTGACTAGAATTTGGATAGAATTGTGACAGATAGAGTTTGACTAGAATTTGGCTTGAGGTTGGCTATAGTTGGATTATAGTTTAACCAGAGTTTGACTACATTTTGACTGAGTTTGAAAAGAGTTTGAATAGAATTTGGTTGTAGCTTAAAGAGAGTTTGACTAGAGTTTGACTATAGTTGGATTCAAGTTTGGCTAGAGTTTAACTAGAATTACTCTGGAGTTTGGCTAGAATTTGGCCAGAGTTTGACTAGAATTGGGCAGAAGTTTAACTAGAATTTAGCCAGAATTTGACTAGAATTTGGTTAGAGATTAATTAGGGCTTACGGTATCAAATTTTCTGTTGACTGCTTGTTCACGTCTGATCATGTTTAAAACAAAAATCAACCGAGCAGTAAACTCTGCACACTACAAAGGAATAATGTCACTGTTTTATAGTTTGATATTGGACCAGTTTGGATTCTTTCCCATATAATGTTAATCTAGATTCATAAAACGGGAGAAACAAATTTATGATATGGTCTCATCAACAAATTTATGATACGGACTCATCAACAAATTTATGATACGGTCTCATCAACAAACTTATGATACGGTCTCATCAACAAATTTATGATACGGTCTCATCAACAAATTTATGATACGGTCTCATCAACAAATTTATGATACGGTCTCATCAACAATTTTATGATACGGTCTCAACAACAAATTTATGATAAGGTCTCATCAAAAAATTTATGATACGGTTTAATCAACAAATTTATGATACGGTCTCATCAATAAATTTATGATACGGTCTCATCAACAAATTTATGATACGGTCTCATCAACAAATTTATGATACGGTCTCATCAATAAATTTATAATATGGTCTCAACAACAAATTTATGATATGGTCTCATCAACAAATTTATGATATGGTCTCATCAACAAATTTATGGTATGGTCTCAACGAAAAATTTATGATTTGGTCTCATCTTAAAATTACTTACGCATAGGTTCCCAGGGAGCACTTGAAACCAATAGCTAGAGCCACGCCTACTGTGATCCACTCCCCTGTCACCTTGTGGGTGCAAATAAGTGGCGCCCCTTGGTCGCCCTACAAGATTTCGCGGGATGCAGTCAAGCAAGGGGATGAATGACAATAATAACATAAATAATAATTAAGGATTATATTGCTTCTGTAAGATTATTGGTATTTAAAAATAATAATAATAATATGAGCCGATATAACTATTTTAAAAAAGTTATTATAAATGAGTATTGACACCAATGGGGTGTTCATCTTTCAATGTTCTGATTGTGACGCTGACGCCACTACGATCAAACGATCGCCACCAGGAGTCATCGGAGTTTAAAGCACCGCTGGGCTTTCCGGGCGGCTAGAGTTGGTCACGCCATCGTTTACATGGATATGAGAAGTCGCTGTGCTACAGGATGATTAAAAGGAGAAGGCAAAGTAAACTTCATAACAAATATTAGAGAATCTCAACATGATACACGGGACTCACAAAACAAGGACCGGTCTTGGAGCTCAGCTTGTCCACTCTCGTGTAGGTGAGCGAGCCCCCGGCGATGCTGCCCGTGTTGACCTTGACCTTCAGTTCCATCAACGTTGGGCTCGTTGAGCCGATGACTGGTAGACGAAAAAAAAAAATATATACCTTGACACAAAGTACGCACGCGTGCGGTCATCAGTTGGTACAAGAGTTTGGAGCCAATAAAGCCGGCCGAATGGGATTGTGGGTGAGTTACAAAGATTAACACTGTAACCAATAACACATTCAATGAAGTTTTTGTTTCCCACGTTAAAAATTTACGACTGTTTTAAATCATTCGTATGCCTCGGTCTCAATGAAACCGACCTTGACCCCAGCAAATCATACTTTGCTGCTGAACAGACGGTCGATCACAAGCGCGAATCCTTCTTTACAGCTTTAATCATTTCCAGGCACTGAAATATTTTTAATTTTATTTTTAATTCAACCAGACCTATGCCAACATAATAGCTTGAAAGCCGACCAGAGGTGTAGCTAGGGGGGAGGGAGGGGGACAGATGTCCCTGGGCGCCAGACAAGTTAGGGGCGCCAACATCTGCTTTGATATTATTTTATTTATGAAAAAAAAATGGGTTTGAGAGTTTAAAAAAGAAAGGGAGGCGCTTTAAAATGAATCTTGTCCCCGGGGCACCAAACACTCTAGATACGCCTCTGAAGCTGACTCCATATCCCCGAATCGGATCTAAGCCCCTCCTCAACCCCCCCCTCCCCCAAAACGAAGAAGGTTCTAATTCAGTGGTTCTTAACCTATTTGGAGGTACCAAACCCCACCAGTTTCATATGCGCCTTCACCGAACCCTTCTTGATAAGAAAAATTAAATATAATTTTTTTTTCCTGATTTTTTTCGGACCTCCGCCGAACCCTGAGACTGACTCACCGAACCCTTGGGGTTCGATCGAGCCCAGGTTAAGAACCACTGTTCTAATTAAAGAATGACCAGGGACGCGTCACCTACCGTCCGTCGTGTCCCCGTACCCCACGAACCGGCAGTCCGTGAAGTCGATGTCCGCGGAGTAGATGTTGGCGTTGGGCACGCACGCCGGCTGGATGCACGCCTCGTTGAACGTGATGGGGGCGTTCAGTGAGACGGTGTACAGCTTCTTGTTGGCCCCGGCTGGGGATACACAATGTGAGAGCCGGGATGGCGAGCATGGCCAATTTTTAACGTTGAGAAACTTCTGACTGACTAGATAACTAAAACCAGCCGCCAAAAACAAAGTTTTTCTTAACAATCCTTTACATGCATTTTTTTTTTGCAATTATGTGATTGTATAATATGATTTTTAAAATGATTGTGATTGTAGCAACTGAATTTTTATTTTATTTTTTTTTTATTTATTTTTTTTTTTGCAATTATGTTATTGTATAATATGATTTTTAAAATGATTGTGATTGTAGCAACTGAATTTTTTTTTTTTTTTTTTTTTTTTTTTTTTTAATTTTTTTTTTAAATTTATTTTGTTTGTTGTAACTGAATTTTTTTTTTTTTTTTTTTTTTTTTGTATCGCAATAGTTTTTATCTAACTTAGTGCATGTAAAACCTATTAGACTAAAGATATATTATTTTAAAAGAAGAATTTGTCGTGTTGCTGAAAAATTGAAAGATTCGTCATTGGCAACGACTCTGTGTGCCAAGTTTCAGCGCGATAGGACGACGGCAAGTGGGGGTCAGTTAGACTTACGAAGATTTTTGCCACAAAGAAACACACGAACAAAAGTGAAGCAATTATACAAGATTTAAAAATAAAGAATCGACTATTGTGCTCCCTTAAGCAACTTAGGGGGAAAAAAAACAATCAATTATGGGGTTTAAGTATGGCTTTACCTTTGCTATTTTTACTGTTGTAGTTTTTTTTCCCCTAAGAATTGATGGTCAGAACTGACGAAATCAAGAAATTCAAAATAGCCACCTTTGAAAATATTTGGCCGAATTTTTAAATATTTCTTTCTTTCTTTATTACCGGTATTTAGTTTGTTAACTCTTGGAATTGATGGGAGCACATTGACTCTTAACACTTGACCGTTAGATTAAGACCAGACCATTTGAATTGTAGACACAACGCTGGGTGCCTGCAAGTCAACGGAAAGAACAGACTTACTGGGATCCAGGGCTTTCGCTGTAGCCGGGAGAACTGTTGGGGAACTTGTGGAGACGGACGACTGCTGGTAGGACTCGACCGTAACATATGTCTGAGTGCTGGGGAAAAACAAGAAAACACATTCTGGCTAATTTATGAGTGCCATTTTAGGGTCATCAACTTTGCAATACAAGACATTCATTAATTCTATTTTATTTCTATTTTCTAAATTTATTTTTTAGGATTTAGCAAGTGAATCATAATTATTTTATCCATAGACCGCACATCGGAAAGACATCATACCGTAAACATTTATGGCTGAAACTAGCGAAAGAATTTGAAATAATATTATTGAAAATACAAATATATTTAAACTTAAAGGTAATTACTATTGAGATTAGGGAAGACAAATACCCTTGGCTTAATATAAAAACCATCAACTTAAAACTTATTGTAGAATTTAGGTAGACGATGATTACCTTGTATCAGATTATAACTCAATTAAAGATAATTAACTATTACCTTCAACCTATAATCATTACCTTTGAATTAACTGAAGGCAATAACTGTCAATCAAAATTTTATTTTCTTCCAGCAATGTCCCCATGCACTGAAGTTTCTCGTCTGCTGTACCCGGGTTCCTGTAGAGACCGACCACGCCTGGATATTGGCATTCTGTCGTGATGTTGGTTGGAGAGTAGAGTCTCTTGACAATTGGAGACAGAGTGGCCGTTCTTGCTCTCGTGTAGTAGCAGGTTTCTAAAATATAAGTAGTAGGAAAAAACAGGGTCGCGGAGGTGTAAAAAGTGTAACAAAAAATTAAATATAAAAATTAAAAATAGACACTTGGATGAAGGTGTCCTTCCTCTAGCTTTCCTCTTGCTATAGTCTTGCTGTTCTCTTGCTGCTTTCCTGATGCCTTCTTGCTGTCCCCCTGCTGTCCTCCCAGATGCCACATTTCAATTAAATATTTATTTTTAAATTCTTATATGTATTTTACGCCTTGTTTCTTTGCTGATGAAGGCTTCTTGCCGAAACGTGCGTTATTTTCTTGCGCCCCCCCCCCATCCGCCCCAGTCACGCCTTGTTTCACTTGTTTCCTTCTACCTACACTGATTGCAGTCTCTCACCACTTATTACGATATAAACATGGGAAGCATCGGCAAAGAATGGATCATCGCGGCGTTTCTCCTTGCACTGAGCCCCCATTACAGCATGAGACGCCAATATGCGCTGCAGAGCATAAAATACAATCTACAAAGTCCCAGGTTAACTCTGCGCCTGGAGATGTCACATCAACCCCCTGCAGTTACTGCACAAGAACATTTCGTGCCAGAATCTTCCCCAGGAGCCATCTGTGCACCCGCAGACTGAACAAGCCCTAGCACGAATCCGATGATTGAAACGGCCTTGATCCATTTCGATGGGCGAAATAACAAAACAGACTTTGTTAGACTGTGTCCTAGAACAAGATGGGGGAAAAAAAAACCTACCCAGTGCTCCCACTGTTGTCCCGTAGTAACTGGTTTAAGAACTGTGTTGTAGTACATATATCTTCAGTAACGAAATAAAAATTTCACCCGAAAGAGAACAGCATCTTATTTTAAAAAAAAAACACGAATTAATTTACCTATTCGATTAAATGCACAAACTTCTTAGACGACTTTTCAAATGCAGTTAATTTCTGGTCTTTGGGAATCGGTTTCGATTTTTTTTTTCGGGGGGGGGGTGGGGGGGGGTGGGGGGGGAGGATGTGACGATTCGTTACGTCATCAAAGTTCCCGAGCATCAGAAAAATCGCTGTCAAAGAATACCGTTACCCAGTTTGTATCCAGCTCATTACATCCCCCCTCTACCCCAGATCTCGTTCATCCACGCTTAGATCGCACACACCAAGAGATGTTAGGTTGTGTATGACGTGTTCTCTTTACCTGGCTGTGGTGTTGTAGTCGTGGCCAAAGTTGTTGTGGTCATGCCTGCGCAGTTGCAGAGTGACCCAAAGATGACGTCATTTTGTTGCGCGCATGCTGTGAAGGAGATTGACACAATTCAAACCAAAGCTGTCTAATTTGATGAACAGCAATTTATTCCAATAGCTGAAAGATATCCCTCACATAAACTTGTGTGTAGCATGTGATTTCGCTTTTGGGGTTGGTTGGGGGGGGGGTATATATAGAAAATCATATTTTGACAAAAAAGGATAAATATATGAAAAACGTATATGAAAAAGATATGACAATACAAATCAATGAAATGCTTTGTAGTATGTGTCGAGAGCATAGATTTATATGTCAAATGGTGTTTTAAGCAAACACACATACCTCTTTTCTAAACAATTTTGCTATTATGGGGAATGTTACGCACTGCCTTCTTTTGTGAGAACTTAATCTTTTATTTTAATTTTATGGCTCGTTCAAACAGTGCATAACAAAGGACGATACCATAGAAATATACAATAGCAAAAAACGACACCCTTAAACAGTACTAATTACAATTAGTAAGATTTATTTAAGTATTAATATAATTACAAAACAAAAGAAATACAATTAAAAATAATCAACTTACAGAGTATGAGATGTCTTGTAACGGTACACAGTCAGTACAATGTGCCAATTAATAAAGTACAATGATGAATACAAATGAGTACACAAAGAATAATACACTTGACTCGAAAAGTCAAAAAGAAATATCGCTCTATCCATCTCCCGTCTTTCTATTCCCCGGCTTTATATATGGGTATCGCCTGTTTCTAAGAAGATTCGGGGGCAGAATATACATTGCAGTCGTGACTCGAATCTTCTCTAAATTTCTATAATTTACAACAATTTTGTACCCCATTCGAGTCAAGAATAACAGGCGATAGTCTGTTTTGTGGTAAACAAAGATCAAAACAAATAGGCCACGCCCAATATGAACGCAATCTAATTTGGGGTCAAACAGAGTTCAAGGCACGGGGAAAGTGTGACGTAAACACGTCCTACATAACAGGGAATAAGAAGACCAGGTTTGATATTAAGTGTGCTGTTTGGTTATTTGTTTTTAAAAAACCTTAATGAAGATTAGTTAAGTCGTCAATATTTGCTGACTATAATAAGTGTATCAAGGATGGTGGATGGCTGATTGGTTTAACATGATCGAAAGTCTAAACAAGCAAACACACAAAAAACCACCGGCACCCCGGGTGGGTGGGACTCGTTAAACTTGGATGGCAACGCATCTAAGAGAAGGCCAACTCTGACATTAGACCCGGAGATGGAGTCCCGTAGGCGGTATGACATGGACACAATGAAAATTCCGACAACTCAATGAAAATTCCGACAACTCCTGCGACATAGAACGCACAAAGAGAGCACAGTGCGACACAGGAAACACTGGTGGTCACCCACTGCATCCTGGTCTAACCCCAGTCGTCTTGACTAAGTCATTGGGACAAATAAGGAAGGATGAGAGAGTAAGACTGGCGAATTGAGCAACTCTCCCCCCCTCCCACTTCAAACAAAATACAGCTCAAGTCAAGGCTACTACTCAATTCGAAGCTTTTGTCATCTTCGCCCGTGAAGGACGGACCCCAATAATTTTAAATGTATTTGATGGTCCCGTCTAAAGACTTACGGTACCGTAAGTATCCGAAAATGCCTGACTTTTTCTGTTTTTAAAAGGTATCGTCTGTGTCATCTGTGTGAGCTACTAACTAAGTCACTCATCACTCACCAACGTTCAGGGGAAAACCTTAAATAAAGTAATTAACTATAATGTCGCCCATAATTATAGTCACATGAGAAGTTCGTTTTCTTGTCCTAGAGCAGCGGTTCTCAACCTGAGGATCCTGACCCCTTTGGGGGTCGCATGACCCTGACACAGGTGTCGCCTAAGACCATAGGAAAACATAATATATTTATGAAGTAGCGGCGAAACTAATTAAATGAATGCGGAGTGTCAGCGAAACATGAGAAACTGTATCAGAGGGTAATAAAGCGTCCATTTCTAAGTAGGCAAGACTCACCCAACAAACAGTAGGAGTTGTCAACCAAGGGCCCGGCGGTGGTGGTAGTACTCTTCGTTGTGGTAGGTAACAGCGCACAGGGTCCTCCAATGCTGAATTCTGAGAATGGGCAACGTGTATATCGACACCATTGTTACATGGTATTATAAACGTGCGTGCGGGTAGGCTGATACACACACTCGCATCCTCACACATACATCGTAGTCATCACTGGTAGCATCATATTAGGATTAACACGTGCACACACACACACAAGTGCACACACACACACACACGCCTTAGTCATCACTGGAAGTAAGGTTAACTTTTTAAACACACACTCACGCTCGTACACACACACCACAATCATATCTTGTAAGTGAGAGTTGAAAGCCACCAAATGAGAAGCTTGCCCGTTCGATTTGTAAATGCATCTTAAGCTGAACAATGCAGTTTCTTCTTGTCCTTGTCGTTCAAGTCGTTATATTTTAAAAAGTAAATAACAATAATTAAAAAAAAAAAAAATTTGTTTTTTTTAAATGCAGGCTACTTTTTTTTTACCTAAAGGGAGGCTATTACAAACAAACATAATATGCAATATAAATACGAGATTAGTTTTTTTTAAAATCTTAGTAAATTAATTGAAATTTGTTTAAGAAATGAACTGATAAATAATCCCATTTAATCTAATAGCATAAAGAAACATGCATTTTACACAAACATTATTATACATTTATCCTCATTTCACAAGATCAAATTTCCGTAAAATTTCGGTTTTAAACGGCACTATTTTGTGTTGCAAAATAGTGCGTTCAAAAAGAAATCTGACGCAAAAGTGTATGAAAATTTGATCGTGTGAATGGAACATAAAGTGTACCCCAACAAAATTTCCCCCCCAGAACTTACTGCCACAGATTGAAGCTGTTGAGACGCGACATGACATCAATGTGGCACAGGCGAAGAGAAGACGTCGAAATGTCCCAGAAAATTCCATTTTGTTTTTTTTTTAAGTTTGATAAAATAAATAGGACCAGTGAGTCTAGAATGGCCAATGTTATTTTTGGTGTCGGCAAAAAGCTGGACAGTGCACTCAGTTATCTCAACGTCTGCTCCAACGATCACCTGAATCCGCTCCACTCTCCTGCACACACCCACAAGAAACAAAACTGACAGCGAAACTGTTATATCTCTGCTAGGTCAATATCCCGATGTTGGATCTGTTTTGATTCAACAGGTAGAGATAGATTTCTTCAGCGTAGGAAAGATCTTTTGTCTTCAAGTCACGATTTTGCTCAGCATCGATTGAGGGCGCCTCCCCACCCCCAACACGCGTGAGGACCATGAGCAGTAAGGGGAGGTCATGCTGGTATTAAAAAAAAAACATGTTTGCTAAACTAGGGGATTGTGACGTAGTGTAAGTCATTGTAACATGTAAGTAGCTTCAGAGAGAAAGAAAAAATTTGCCGCATTATCATAAAAATAATTTAAAAAATGAACACCATACACCAAAGCCTCTCCCACTTTGACTAATATTCGAAACTATAAGCCTACAATTTAAAACTTGGTTGTCACTGATCAACGCTAAAACTACCAGTTGATCTAAAAAATGTATATAGATATTTCAATTAATCAACCCGTAAAAACACAAGTTTATGGTATAAATCCTTTAGTTATAGGCGTTTAAAAGAAAACATTTAATATTAATATTCTAATGGCACACCCGCTATACACTGCAGATTTCTTCTTCTTCTATATCTTAAGGGCCCACGATCAATTTATTGATCATTTTGGCTCCTATGCATGTAGATGGGATTTGCAATGTTTCTGCTTCTGGTGGTGATGAGGAAATTATGCACTAGGGGTTTGAAGGCTGGAGGCAATAGACACAAATGTGTCTAGTGTTGTCGCCTCAACCGTTCCTTTTGAAAGATTGTTCCAGTCCCTGATAGTCTTGGGCAGGAATGAGCAGCTCCTATACTGGCTTCTTGCTGGTAGGAGCCTGAACTGCCTGTCATGGCCTCGTCGCTGTCAATGGGGGAGAGGGACGAGTTTCTGTTTAGTACTGGAACAGTGGACCAGCCCATTATTTATCTTGTACATCATTCTATTCTATTCTAGAAAAACAAAAGAAAATATTACGCACGAAAAGTAACTGGCGATATTTTTTAAATTTTTTTTAAGGATCTCAATGAGCACAGTTAACGGGAATTTTAGTTCATGAAATCAGTATCCTCATCTTTCCTTCCTCTTCAATTTGAAAAACACCAGAACTGATTTTTTGAAGGGGTTGGGACGGAAAAATTTGATAGAGTGTGTTGTCATCGGCATCGAGCCTATATGCCAAGTGTCAGCTCGATAAGTGGACGGGAAGTGGGTCAATTAGCCGTCCGCAGAATTTGCCGTAAAAACACAAAAGCGAATTTGATATCAAGGATTTAAAAAAAAAAAATATTTTGCTGCAAGCATTGGTTGAACACCGGTAAAACAAAGATTGATTTATAATTGTGGAAATAATATCAAACTTTTGTGAAATGGCACTTTGAAATGACAGAGCACTACTGTGAAATCATTCATTAAATGTAATTTGTTTAATTTTGGGGGGAAATAAAAGGGAGGATACAATTAAATCTTAGAGGAACGGTTGCGTTCTAGTACTCTCCCTTTCAATTATCTTAAAATCAATGAAACTCTTCATAAAATTATTTGGACCATTTGATGTTTAAACATTAGAAGAGCTACACCAAGCGCTTAGATGCTATTTTTCCTGTTGTCCACGTAATCTGCAATTCAAAGTTCAGGTCGGCAAAACATGTCGTGAGGTGATTGTTAAGCCAGGGGCGTAGGAAGAGGGTGCGAATGGGGGTGGGCCGCTCCTTGCGGCATTTTCTCCTTTAACTGGAGGGGCGGCATTTTGGCCAAATACAGTTGTTTTTTTTCTTTTTTGGGGGGATAGGGCCCGTCAAAATTTTAGCCCGCCTCAGTTGGAACTAGCCCTAGATAAGCCACTATGTCCAGGCCTGGTATAGGGAAGGAATGCTACTGATAGCTTAGTACTCTAAACAGCACTAAAGAGCAAAAAAATTGAACACAAAAACAGAAACATTGGCGGCTGAATTTTCAAAAGTATTTCGTCGTTTTATTCATTTTACAATTAACATAACCTAAATGTTGACATAATGTGACAATCAGTGACATACTGTCATGGTGTCAGGCAATGATATAAGGTTATGTATAAGTTGGCATCAAAATGTTGTACATACATTCATTACAAGGACATACCTTGACGTACTGTGACATCATGTGACAATGACAATCTGGCAATGACATGAAGGTGTGTATACTTTGAAATTTAACTTTATTTACACACATACAAAGTAGTGTTCGGGGCATTAAATTAAAGAGAGAATGTAGTCCTTTCTGGCAAACCCCCCTCCCCCCCAAAAAACAACAACAAACCAACAAAAAAAAACAAAAAAACAGAAACTATTCTTTATGGAACAATAAACATGATGCCCAAAGACTCAATGCAGTACATTGTATTCATAATACTTTTGGACAATGTAGGCTTTCAAACATGAAATACTCAATAACATAACAATAACCAATCAAAATTTTGTTTACAAATATGAAAGTACAAAAAAACAATTACGTACAAGTAAGCGTTTCATAATTAAATAAAGTGTGCATTGATATTTTAATTTATTTTTTAATACCGTTATACACAAAATACAGTTGCTAAATCGGATGTTATTTCAAGGGCAGGGCATTTTTAAAGATATCTTTTTCCTTTTTATATTCAAACTAAATAAAAAGAAACATAGTGATGGTGCATCAGTTGATCAGTGAATTCAAAAACAACATTTAAAAAATGCATCATGATACAATAAAGTTGCGGTTGAGCTTAATCATATTGTAACAAGTCTATTATCAGAACCATGCCCCGGCCTGATAGACTTATCGGGAAATATTTGATCTCTAAATAAGACGATATATAACAAATGTATTACTTAGATCATCGGTGCATAATTAATTTTTTTTTAAAGATGTTCAATTTAAACAAAAAATCAAATAAATAAGTGATTTGAAGCTAAATTATATTTATTTATGGATATATAGCTGGAGTTAATGTTCTTTCTTTTTTTGTTTTTTTTTTGGTTTTTTTTTGTTTGTTTGATTACCGCAGGACAAATTTAAAAGGATGATTTAAACAATAGCTTTCTGAGATTAAATCGCTCCTGTAGAGTCACAACTGTCGGGGCCTCTGCCAAGGTTCCATAGAGATTGCCTAAAATCGGTAATGTAAATTTTGACATCTGCATCTTTCCATAATAGGCATGTACTTCTAAGTCATGTGCGAAGACAAACGCAGAAGTGCAAGTTCAAAAGTTTTCTGCAGTCAGGCCCGCGGGTTTTTCCAATAATTGTCAATTTGTAAACTTTCAAATGGGATTATGAGGCAGTGATGAAAATATAATCATATACAATATATCACACATCATATATCATATATCATACATCATATATCATTGTTTGGTGCGGACAGCGCGTAATGCACTGCTTTATTTCATTCGTGCTGAAAGGGTTCTTGGACTTTGGCGTAAAACTAGATTAGCTGTCTGAGGGGGACTGCGGGCATTTTGTTGTTTCATATTGTGGCAGAGTGCATCAAGCCTGGCCGGAAACCATCTGCCCACCGTGGTTGCGGGTTGGGATGTCAGGGGTGGAAGGGTTGACACTGTTCTCGTGGTGACGTAGGAGCAGCTTGGTGGCCGGCAGGTAGAAACCGGACTGTAAATATGATTAATGGGTCGGTGTTAACAAAACAAAAAAAAAAGGATATTTATCAATTCAACCTAATTTAAATTAATTTACCGTTGACTTTGATTCCCCTTTAATGGGAATTCACGATGTCGTCCACCAAACAGAAGAAAAAAAAACGTCCTTGCGAAATACCATAGCCATAGAATTTGAAGCTAAATGATTAGCGATGCATTGGTTAGGATAGAGGCAAACTGCCATGGTTTTATAGACCCCCATTGTATTGCCGAATATTTCCAAGGTTCATGCGAGTGATTGTGATTGAAATCAATAAATTTCGACGGAAAACAAAATGGATATTCTACTAAAGACTTTACATTGCGAAATGGTGTCGGTGGGCCGTCGAACTGTGCGAGCTCCGGCATCCTCCACACGGGCCAGACGCCGTGTTTCCCCGTCGCCAGTGGAACCTCCTCCCTGGCCTGGGGGACGTCCGTTCGACCGAAAACAATGGCTTAAAGCGTTCGCTGTCCACTCTCCCTAAGACTCTGAGCGGGTTTGCTTCCACTCAGGAGGAAAGGTGTTGCGTTACCAGCCCCCACCACCCAGGGAGTCTTTCGTTTGCGACAAAAGCTGGGACGAAACGGTAATTCAGAAATTCCACTATAACATAAGATTCACTAAATATCATCTATGTAATCAAATGTACTTGAAAGTTTCTATTAATCTATCTTTATTACAGTTTGAATTTTTTTTGGTCATGAAATTTTAAAAAAATCAGCTCTAGGTTGTATTAAGGTTGAAATCGTTGTTAAATCAGTCTGTAAAGCCTCAAGTACTAGAGAACCAGATACATCATGTGTCAATTACTATACAGCTAACTACGTCATGTGTCAAGTACTAAAGTACTAGCTACATCATGTGTCAAGTACTAAAGTACTAGCTACATCATGTGTCAAGTACTGGAGAACCAGCCACGTCATGTCTCAAGTACTTACAGAGACATCCAGCACCGAGTCCAAGTCTCTTATCTTGAAAAACTTGGCCTGCTCAGGGGGAGTGAATAAGTAGCGCATTCCTTTATAAACTCCATCTGAATCGCCAACTACAGGGGAGATAACAAGGGTAATGCATTAGAAAAAAAAGAGGCCGAGAGGCGGGTCAACCCGATGCTAAAAAAAAGTTTTATTTTAGATAAGGAAACTATTAATTTCCAAAACATTTTGATTTTGTTCACGGAAATATTCCCAAGAGTTATGATTTATCAATCAGAGTGAATGAAATATAATTTTGGAAGAATTATTATAAAATTTAAAACACACTTTACTTGTTTGTAAGAAACAAAACCCACATATGTCACCAGATGCATTTCACGACATTTTGCGGCAATAAAACTGAAAAACATAGTTATTTCTGGGATTTGGGGAAGAAATTATTATTTCATTTTTTTAAACCAACACCATTATTTTCTTAC